AAGAAACTATTGATATATTCTACAAGATGGATGAATCGAAGTGAGGAAAAAAATTATGCTGAGTGAAAGAAGCTAGACAAAAAAGAGTACATGGTGCATGATTCTTTTAGATAAAACTCTAGAAAATGCAAACTAATCTATAGTGACAAGAGGAGAGGGGGAGGGATTGCAAAGAGGTATGAGGAAAGTTCAGCGGGTGGTGGTGAAGGATATGTTCACTATCTTGACTGCCGTGATGGTTTCATAAGTGTATACATATGACAAAATTTCTCAAATTGTATACTTTAAATATGTGCATTTTACCGTACATCAATTAGACTTAAATAAAGCTATTTTTAAAAAGACTAAAAAAGCACATTTCTAAATAGCCCATATATTAAATGAGAAATCATAACAGAAACTCCAGTACTTGAAACGGAGTGATAATGAAAATATGAGCTATGAAAATGTAAGATACAGGAAAGTGATACTTTATGGAAATGTCATAGCCTTAAATTATATTAGTAAAGAAGAAAAGTTAAAAATTAATGAGGTAGCAATTGGCGTAACACAGTTTATAAAGACAATGTTCTACATTCTACCTTGGTGAGTAGCATCTGGGGTCTTAAAAGCCTGTGAGCAGCCATCTAAGATACTCCACTGGTCTCATCCCTTTGGGAGCAAGGGAGAATGAAGAGAACAGGATACAAGGAAAAGATTAGCCCGAAGGACTAACGGACCACAGCTGCCAAGGCCTCCACCCGACTGAGTCCAGTACAGCTAGATGGTGCCCAGCTACCACCACTGACTGCTCTGACCAGGATCACAACAGAGGGTTCTGGACAGAGCTGGAGAAGGATGTAGAACAAAATTCTAACTCACAAAAAAAAGACCAGATTTACTGGCCTAAAGGAGACTGGAGAAACCCCGAGAGTATGGCCCCCCGACACCCTTTTAGCTCAGTGGTGAAGTCACTTCCGAGGTTCACCGTTCAGCCGGGAAATGAACAGCCCCATAAAACCGAATGGGACTAATGAGGCACAGCAGTCCAGGGACAAGGGCCAGAAGGCAGAAGGGGACAGGAAAGCTGGTGATAGGGAACCCAAGGCTGAGTGAGGATAGTGTTGATGTGTTGTGAGGTTGTTAACCATTGTCATAGGGCAACATGTATACTAGCTATTTAATGAGAAACTATTTTGTTCTGTAAACCTTCATCTAAAGTGAGAATAGCAGCACAATTGGAAGAGCGTAGTCGATGTCGCTGAACTGTGCAAGTAGACATTTTTGAAATGGTGTATCTTTGGCTATGTATATTTTCACCAAAAAAAAAAAAAAAAATCTAGAAGGGAGAGGGTTGACATGTCGTGGGGTTGTTAACAAATGTCATAAAACAATATGTGTACTACTGTTTCATGAGAAACTATTTGTTCTGTAAACCTTCACCTGAAGTACAATTTAAAAAAAAATTAATGAGCTAAGTATCCCACTTAAGAAGTTAGAAATAAAGAACAAATAAACCAAATGGAAGTGAAGGGAGATAATAAACACAGACATTAATATAATGCAAGACAAATACACAATAGAAAAAGATTGACAGAGCTAAAATTTGGTTTTTAGAAAAGGCTAATAAAAGGGACAAAACTTTGGCCAGACTTATCAAGGAAAAAGACAAGATACAAAATATCAAGAATGAAGAAGGGACACAGCTATAAGATACAGAAGAGATTTAAAAAAAAGATAAAAGAACATTATGAACAACTTTATGGAAACAGATTTGAAAACATGGGTACAATGTACAAATTCCTTAAAAAATATAACTCACCTAAACAGAATCAAGAAAATATAGAAAGCTCAAATAGTCCTATGATAATTAAAACGATTGAATCTATGGTTTAAAAATCGTCCCCTCCCCCCACACACACTCAAGGAAAATCCGAAAAAAACTTTACAGAAACAAATCATTCCAAACTAATGCAAACTAATTCAGTGAATAGTAAAAGAGAGTACATGACCATCCAATTATTGAGGCTGATATAACACTGATGTTAAAATCGCACAAGGACATTACAAGAAAAAAAAAAATTAAAAAAAGAAAAACACAAGCCAATCACTGATGGAATAAATGCAAAAACCATAAACAAATTATTAACAAACCAAATCCTGCAGCATGTAAAAAAGGTCATCATCAAGTTAGCTTTATACCAGGAGTAATTCAGCATTAGAAAATCCATCAGTGTAATTCAGTACATTAATAAATTAAAGAAGAAAAGCTATATGATTGTCTTAATCCACATAGAGAAAAGCAACATATGATATTCAATATCCATTCATGACTTTAAAACGAAACAAAACATAAAAACTCTTAGCAAACTTTCTTAATCTAAGGAAGCATAGCTGCCAAATAACTAAAGTTAACAATATTCTTAATAGTGAAATATTGGAAGCACTTTCTTTAAAATCAAGAACAAGATAGGAATACTCATTACCACTGCTTCTATTCAAGGCTGTACCTGAGATCCTAACTAGCGCAATAAAATAAGAAAAAGAAATAAAATATTTAAGGATTGAATAGGAAAAAGAAGTCATTTTTGCAAATAATGGCTATGTGGAAACAAAACAAAACAAAACAAATCTAAAGACAAAGATCCACAGGCCAATATCAATTGCATTTCTCTATAGTACAATATAGAGTCCCTGAGTGGCACTAACGATTTGCACTTGACTACTAACCTAAATATTGGCGGTTCAAACCTACCCAGCAGCACCTTGGAAGAAAGGCCTGGAGATCTGCGCCCATAAAGATTAGTCAAGAAGACCCTATGGAGCAGTTCTGTCTGTAACACACGGGGTCTTTAGTAGTCAGAATTGACTCGATGGTAATGGGTTTGGTTTTCGGTTTATGATACCAATAAAGAGTTAGAAAATACAATAAAGGCTATCATGAGGCTGATATAACACTGACGTTAAAATCACACAAGGACATTACAAGACAAAAAATTAAAAAAAGAAAAACACAAGCCAATCACTGATGGAATAAATGCAAAAACCATAAACAAATGATTAACAACAAAATCTTCCCCCAGATACATACATGGCTCACTCCTCACTTCCCTCAGGTAAATGCCATCTTTTCAGTGAGGTCCTCCTTAAGCACTCTGTTTAAAATTGTAATACTCCCTTCCCTAGCACTTCCTAATCTCCCTTCACGGTTTTATTCTTCTCCTTTGTCCTCATCACCATCTAACATTCTGTACATTTTAATCATTTAATTAATTTATGTCCATCTCCTCTATTAGATAGTAAGCCCATAAACTCAAGGCTTTTTGTCCATTTTGGCCACTGCAGAGTCCTTAGCATATAGAATAGACCCTGGCACAAAGCAGGTGCTCAAAAATTATTTGTTGAATGAATGAATAACACACTTAATTGGCCGAATGTGGGAACAGACATCCTTACAGTTGCTGGTAGTAAAGTCAACGGGTATCACCTCTCCAGAGGGTAAACCAGCATAAACTATCAAAATCACAAATACATATATCCTCTCACCCAGCACTTCTACTTCTCGGAGATAAATTCACATGTATGTGAAATGACAAATGAACAAAGTTATTCACTGCAGCATTGTTTATCCCTGAAAAAGAATGAAAACAGCCAAAACTCCTATCAATAGGAGACTCTTTGAAGAAATTATGGTCCATCCATACAATATACACAAAAAAGAAAAAGGAGACCCCTTGGATCCTGGTAGAAAACGAGCTCCCAGATGTACATTGTTCAGTGAAAAAAGAAAGGTGTTCAAAGTGTGTTTAGCATGCCACCATTTTTTACGAAAATAAAGGTAAAGGATACAAAAATAATCTATGTATTTTCTTGTATATATGCACAGATGATCTCAGAAAGAATACACAAGGAAGTGGTAACAAAGGCTGCGTATCTGGAGGGGAATGGATGGGTGGGAAGCAGAGGTGGAAGTCTTTTTGCTGTAAACTCTTTTAATTTTCTTCAATTTTTGAACCATGTGTTTTACCTATTAAAAGGATAATAAGACAGTGGCTTATGTTCTGATATGGAGTGATCTCTAAGATACATTATTACCAAAAAAAGTAAAGTGTGAAAGAGTTTGTAGAAGGTCCTTAGTTGGCACAAACAGTTTGTGGTTGACCACTAACCTAAAGGTTGGCAGCTGGAATGCACCCAGCAGTGCTGCAGAATAAAGGCCTGGCATTCTGTTTCCGTTAAGATTACAGCCAAGAAAACCCTATGGAGCAGTTCTACTCTGTAACACATGGGGTCACCGTGAGTTGGCATCAACTCCACAGCAATGGGTTTGGTTTGTTATTGTTGTTTTTTTAAGAGTGTGTACAGTATGCTATACATAGGGGTGGGAGACGGGCTTACTTTTGCCTACTTACTCTTTTGTACCTTTGGAATTTTGTACTCTGTATATGAACTCCCTTTTCAAAAAGAAATAAAATAATTTAAAAAATTCTGGTGGGAGAATGCATTGTCATGGGCATCACCTTGAGAGTCCTATGATTGAAACCTGTCATCTATTTCCCCATTTTTCAAATAAAGGAAATGGACATTCAGAGAAGTCACGTCAAACAGCATAAAGTGATGGAACCAAAACTAGAACTTAGCTTTCCCTGACATGCTCACGCCAGTGCCTCCATTCTCCCCAGGCTCTCTCTGTGTGACAGTTCACTTCCTCCCTCCCATGCTCCCTCTCCTGCCCTTCAAATGGCCTCCTCCAATCCCTTGCACTCCTCAGGGCTCCTCCATCAGGGAATGCAGCTCCTAAATCCTGGCCAGAAAGTTTTCCACCAGGGGCCTCCCTCCGGAGGCCATGGCTGTTTGCTGCCTGTTCCCTGACAGTTTCCCTCCACTAAGGGCCCACCAGCATGGGGCCCTGGTGGGAGGGCGGGCAGCCCAGCTCCTCCATGGAGCCACTGTGCTCTGTAGCTGAACCCAGCCCACCCTGGCCTGGCAGCTCCCAGCCTGGCTCCCTCCCCCAGTTGTACCTGTCAATAATCACAGGGTCTGAGGGTGTCTCATTCCTGTTGCCACAGCTCTTCCGGTCACAGCACCGGCTAGAGGAAGGATGAGGAAGGAGGGAAAGAAGGAAGGCAATGAAGAAGAGATTACAGTGTGTGTGTATGTGTGTGTGTGTGTATGTGTTTGTGTGTGTGTGTTGTGTGCGTGTGTGAACGGGGTTAGCCCTTTGCCACAGCAGCCCAGGGGTAAGGATGTTGATGTCCTGTCTCAAGGTACGGAATCCCGGGGCCAGGGGGAGGAGGACAGTGAGGGTCCCTCCTAAGGACTTGGAGAGCCCAGCCCTGGGGATAAGGTTGTCCAGGAAACCCTTGTCCCAAAGGTATGTTGCTCCTGGAAGATCCAGGAGGGCACGCTGCAGGCCACTTTCACTGAAGCAATCTACACATAGAAGAGAGCTCAGATTGTAAGCAGGCGGCTTGATGAATTATTACAAAGGGATTTCATCCATGTAACCAGTACCCAGATCAAGAAATGCCACGTGACCAACACCCCAGAAGCCCCTATGCCCTCTCCCTGTCACTATCTTCCCAAAGGGTAGCCACAGTCCCAAACACTCTTCTCTATGCATAAAGAGCTGCCTCTGAGGCTCCTATCTGCTGGGGGGACCCTGCCTAGAAATGCAAAGCTCTGGGGTGATGGGGATGAGGGAGTCAAGAGCTGTGTCCCCCTGGAGCTGCCCACCTTCTCTGTGCACTGAGGTTCACAAGGGAACCAGCAGCTTCCTTCCTCCTGCTTCTGAGCTAATCCCTGTGGGCAGTGGCCCCCGGGTGTAACCTGGCCCAAGCCCTGCCCCCACCTCCCTAGCGAGCCCCTCCCCCGAGCTTTATTAGTGAAGCTTAGCGGTATCAGCAGGCGGCCTCTCTAGCAACAACACTCGGAGAAGTCACGTAAACAGGCCAGGCTAATGGGGCCTCAAGGACCCTGGCCTCAGCCGGCGCTCCTCCCAGGGGCTTCTCTCCTGCGTCCTCTCTCCACTAGGCCTCCCCAGGGAGCAGCAAGCAGCAGAGGCACAGGGGACAGGGCTTGTGGGAGTCCTTGGCAACATCTTGGCAAAGTGGCGGGGAGATCCCTCCCTCCATCCCTCCATTCCCATCACCCAGCCCATCTCACCTGCACATGATCTCGTGGGTGAGCAGCACTCGGCACATCTCTGGGTTCTTGTCCTGCCCCTCATAGATGATGGCCTGGGGAGGGGAAGTGCATGGGCTGGAGGGGCTAAGCCTAGTGGAGGCCTTGCCCCAGGGGAAGATCATGCCTTCCAGCTTGCTCTGGAGGCCCAAGAGAGCAAAGCAGGAGCTTGCAGCTCTCCCCTTAAACCAGGACCACTGTCACTGTGGGCAAGAGTGGCATGTGGTCTGCAGATTCTGTTTGTCTGCAGGCAGCTCTCTGCGGGTGCAGCTCTGTGTGGGGACAAAGAGGTCCCCAGATCACAAGGACCAGAGCTTCTGGCGGTGGGGGGACACCTTCCTATCCCCAACCTGCATCGTGCTCCTCCCCGTACCTGAGCGTCCTCCCGTGTGTGCAGGCTGTTTCCATGGCCCTAGTGGACCTCTGCTTCCTGCTCACAGAGTGTCTCTTTCAGCTCTCCCTGGCAGCTAATCAGTCCCCAGAGCCCCCACTACTTCTTTCCTCCTCCCCATCACCTCAGCCCAGGCCACCATCTCCCTTTTAGACTGTTGGATCAGCCTCCTCATGGGGTCTCCAGCCTCCACTCTCTGCTCTGAAGAAAGGAGTGAGCTTCCCAAACTGCAGATCTAGCTTCCCAGTTTATAATTCCTTGGGCCTCCTGGCCTTCCCTTATTTGTGAGTGTCTCTGCATGGAGCAAATGATTAAGTGCTCAACTACTAGCCGAAAAGCTGGTGGTTCGAACCCACCCAAAGATGCTTTGGAAGACAGGCCTGGAGATGCTTCTGAAAGGTCACAGCTTTGAAAACTGTATGGAGCACAGTTCTACTCTGCACACACGGGTCGCCATGAGTTAGAATTGACTCGAGGGCAATCAATAGCAACAATTTTCTCCCTGGACTCCCCCTCCCCTCAGAGACCACAGCTTTTCTGAAAACAAATCATTTCTTCCTTTGTGCTGGGGTTGGGTGGAGACTGCCAGAGAGACCCTGCCTCTTATTCTAGGACCACTAATCTGGCCCATTGGAGACCCAACCCCCTCCTTACCAGCACACGCGACTTCCCTGAAAAGCCCTGAGACTTGGGGGCCCTGCCTGGGCAGAATCCATTAGGTCTTACTCAGGTTTCAACTTCCCAGAACTCCTCAGGCTGTGCTTGGCACACTGTAGTGCTCCATAAATGCTTGAGAAGGAAGGAAGAAAGGAAGCCAGGAAGGACTTCTGAATGTCTCTAAGGCCATCCCAGACCACTGTGATTTCTCCTCCTCTTGAGAGCTGGCCCCCAGGCCTCCTTCCTTGGATCTTCCTCATCAGCAAGGTAGTGAGGGTCTGTAGTAGAAGCTTTTGGGGCCCCACTCAGATTCCTGTACAGGACCAGAGCACCCACCTCTCAGCTGCAGTTAGTGTGGGCTGCTAAGAGCCTTCTCTTGAGAATTGTTCTCAGGAGCTGGGGGCTGCTTTGCCTGAAATGTCTTGAAGGCATACTCTCCCCTTAGGAGTGGTCCCCAGCCAATGACTGGATTCCTTTCCCCAAGGGGGATAACTCTGATACCACTCCTCCAGAATCCTCACAGAGACTAGACTCCAGCTGAGACCACACCCTTGCTCAGCCCTGTCCTGCTTCCCTCACTCCTCTTTTCCTGAGAGCATCCCAGCCCACCCCAATAAACCCTGTGCACCTGAATCCCCATCTCAGGCTGGGCTTTTAGGAACACAAGCTAACACAGGGTCTTTGCTCAAATACCGTGCGTTTCTAGTCTAAAGGGCAAGAGCCACATATCTTTCTGCTGTGGGCTGGGGCAGGAATTGCGGGGGCTAGACTGGTGGGGATGGAGGGCACAGGAGAGACAAGGACAGGGACAAGAATGCACACTCAGATATGGGGTGCTCTCCCCCAGAGCCTGGAGTCCAAGCAGAGGGCGAGATGGGCCTAAGCATCCCCCAGGGTGGCTCACCTGCTTGGACATGGAGTCAATGAGGCGCACGTAGAGGTCTTGTTCTGTCCGAAGTCCTAGTGGGGGAAGGTGGAGTGGGCTTGTTGTGTGGGAAGATCTGTGGCGTCTGAGAGCTGTACCACACTCCAGACCCTCCCCACTTGGCGCGCCAGGGGCCTCCTCAGCCCTGACCAGGAGGGCATTATGGGTCTCACCAGGTAGCCAGAGTTCCTCTGGGTCTGTGGACTCCACTCACCATTGTTGTACACCAGCCGGAGGCGGTAATGGATCCCGTTGTTTGTCTTTTCAGCTCCATGTTCCTGTAAGGACAAGATGGGGAGGATGCTCAGGTGCTCCCTGTGATCTTCCATGCTCCCCTGCCCCACACCCTCCTCCCTAACCTACCCTCTTTCCCTCCCTTCCATCCATTCACCCACCCTTCTCCACCCATCCACGCATCTATCCATTCACCTGCCTTAGAGGAAGGAGGTCCCTCAAGCCCTCCCATCCCACCCCGTGCTCCGTCCCAGCAAGCCCACGAGCCTCTCACTCGGTCCTTCTCCACAAAGTCAATGAAGGCTGTGCGCTCCACCTCCACAGGCTGCCCCTGCCGGTCATACATGGCCAGCACGAAGTGGAAGAAGTTGGATTTCCTGAGGTTGGAGGGGGGCTGCTTCTCAAAATGTGCTCGTGCCAGGCCCACACCACTGCGAGGAGGAAAGGAGCTGGAAAACCACCCTCTCTGGTGAGGAAGACCCCCAAGCCTCTGGCCAGGTAGGAGGCTGGCCCAGACTTGGCTCTGACATGTGAAGAGTTCGGGCGAGAAATCAAACTGGACAAGCCCTTTTCACCCTGGCCAAGGCCATCTCGGTTCCAGCCAGAGGCCTCCCAGGACCAAGGTCACCCCCACCTGCTCCCTTGGGAACAGGGCCACAATAGGTGGCTGCAAGGGAGGCATCCCTGCCAGGCCCCTTCCCAAGCCTTTCTCCAGGGTCCTATATTTGGAAAAGCTGATCTCCAAAACCAAATGGATGAAGCAATCCATCCGTTCATTTTCTCATTTCTTGCTGACCAGAGGCGTCTGTGACTGCCCATCGTGTCCCTTTAGGGCACCAAGGAGTAGCTAAAAGTTACTGGAAAAAATATCCCACTGTGCCCCAGCCAAGGCTGAGATTTCTGCAAGCCTGTGGTGTGGCCTAGGAAATGATGATGTCCACCAAGCTCTCAGAGACATTAAATTGGCTCAGGGCCGCTCGTCTGCCCAACCTGGACCCTGGGCTACGACTGGAGGTGGGGAAGAACCTCCTCAGGTATAGAGGACATGCCAAAAGACTTGGGGGAAGACAACCATTGTCTCCCTTGGGCAGGAGGACCTTCTAGTCTACCTTGCCCAGGGTTCTCTTCTAGCTTATTAGAAACCATTCCCAGAAGCAAGGCCAGGGTGAAGACAGAAGGAAGAGAAGAAGCAAGGCCCTACTCCACAAATATTTCCTGAACTCCAATAATGTACTATGCAATGAGGGGGCTGGAGCTAGATGCCTGGAAGTGGAGGTAAGACAGATACAGGGAGCTCTAACACGAGACTAAGTGGTAGGTGCTCCCCAAAAGATATTGCTATATAAAAAACTATAGAAGCAAAGCAGGGAAAATTAATTTTTTCTGTGAGGGATGAGGGGAAGACTTCGTGGACATGGCGGCCCTCTCCTTGGGCCTTGAGGAATGAACACGAGCTCAACACGTGGAGGAGGCAAAACGGTAGAACAAACAGCATAAGAAATGGCTCTAAGTGTGAGGAGTTGGTGTCACTGGACCATAGATTTCAAAAAGTGAAATGAGGAGAAAAGACTTTGCACTGGTAAGTTCATGTCAGACCTTGCAGGACCACAAAAGCCAGGCCAAGGAGTTTGGACTTTCCTCTCTGAGCCAAAGTCTTCCAGTGTGTTCCTTAGATCTCCCATAGCTCCAGCTCCTCCTCTACAAAAGGGTGCTGTAGCCACAATTGTTGGGAAATGTAGCTTCACAGCACACGTGGGTGTATATGGGACCCTGGGACACTCTCCAGGATTGGGCCCTGTTGGACTTGGCTCAGGCCAGTGCTCCCTGTGTTGGGTAGCCAGCCTCCAAGATGGCTCCTAATGATCCTTACTAGTACTCATGCCCTTGTATAGTCTCCTCCCATATTGTATCAGGATTGGTCTGTGTGGTCAGTAGAATTTAACAGAAGTGATGGCATATGACTTCTGAGGTTAGATCATAATAGACATTGTGGCTTCCGCCTTGTTCTCTCTCTTGAATCACTTGTTCTGGAGGAAGCTAGCTGCCATGTGGTGAGGATCCCAAGCAGTCCTATGGAGAGGTTCACATAGAGAAGAACCGAGGCCTTCTGCTAACAGCCAGTACCAACTTGCCAGACATGTTAGTGAGTCATCTTGGAAGCAGATCCACAAGCCACAGTCAAGCTTTCAGTTGACTGCAACCCCAGCCATCATCTTGACTACAGCCTCATGAGACATCCTGAGCCAGGTCACCCAGGTAAGCTGTTCCCTGATTTCTAACTCAGATAAACTGTGTGAGATATGAAATACCTATTGTTTTAAGCTGATAAATTATGGGATAATTTTTTATAGAGCAATAGATAACTAATACACCATGCTTCTTGACCACAGAGCACTTTTGCTGAGGAACATGGTTTGGGAAATATGACGAAAGGCCAAGAGAAACTTCTGAAGCCAGGCAGTACACAATGTCAGGCTGGGCTTAGAAGACGCTGCAGGTAGACAGGGTGTAGTATGGCAGGCAAGTGAGAGGCTGCTGCAGGGATACTGGGGAGAGGATGAGGATGGTGGAACCAGCTTTCCCAGATTCCCATCGTAGACATGCCCCTGTGACAACTTCTGCCATATTAATCACTATTTAATATTTTTCTTCAGATCAACTCACTCTTTTACTTGGCTTCATGCTGAGCTCTAATGTCTAGGATGTAATGGGCTTGAGGTGCTCATTATGTTTTTACTTACACAGATTACAATAAATACAGAAGTCATAAAGTGAAAATTGTTCCTCCCCCTAAAATCTTGCTTTGGAGTTCCACTGGTCCATGTGAAATGCTGATTTAGGACGCAGAGTGATGGGTCTTGCTTGCCCCTGATCAAGATGAGGGGGAGGAGAGGCCCATCAACACTTTCTCTTCCCCATCAACCAGTTGCCTGGAGTCATCATCGACTCATGGTGACCCCATGTGTGTCAGAGTAGCACTGTGCTCCATAGGGCTTTCAGTGGCTGACTTTTCAGAAAGAGATTGCCAGGCCTTTCTTCTGAGGTGCCTCTGGGTAGACTCTAACCTCCAACCTTTTGGTTAGCAGCCTAGCTCATTAACTGTTTACACCACCCAGGGATACTTCTTCCTCCAGGGACCTCACCCTACCTGCATCCTCTCGCTGGTCCTCCTCCCTTCTCCCCTTTAGGTTGCAGGTCTTTCAGTCTATCCTTGACCAGCTACCCCCCACTTCCCATTTGCTGAGTGCCAGGGAAGCCCAAAGAGGCCTTTCATTCACAGCAGGCCCCTGATTACTGTTGATGAATATGCTAACGATGCATCAGCCCTGAGCTCCTCCCTCCTGCTCCCCGGACAGGCTTAACTTGAACTCCACCAGGGACAGATTTCAGGACCACCTAGGGAGAGAGAAGACCGGAGGGGGTGGGCTTGTGGAAGAATCCTAGATCATTGTTGCCCTTTTGTCCTGTCATCTAGCCCAGGAGAGGTGCCTGCCTGGAAGGCTCTCAGATACCAGGGAGGGAGGAGGGATAGAGAAAGATAGAGGCCTTGGCAGAGGAGGGGCTGATCACTATGGCCTGGCCATCTGGATGCTGAGAAAATGGAACCCCTTAGACAACTTAAGGTGCTCTTCCTACACAGACATCCCCCACCACTGCCCAGGCCAAATTTCAAATTCTCCTGCCATCGAGTTGATTCCAACTCATAGAGTTTCCAAGGCTGTAAATCTCTACAGAAGCATACTGTCACAGCTTTCTCCCGCGGAGCCCCTGGTGGTTTTGAACTGCAGACCTTTAGTCAATCACTTTAACCACTGCACCACCAGAGCGCCTCAAAAAATGAGTACACAAGGACTAGAAGGCAGGAGGGCACAGGAAAGCTGGTAATAGGGAACCGAATGTTGAGAAGGGACAGCGTTGATACGCTGTGGAGCTGTTAACCATTGTCATAAAACAGTATGTGTACTAACTGTTTAATGAGAAACTATTTGTTCTGCAAACATTCATCTAAAGTACAATTAAAAAAATAAAAGATTCAGACAAAAAATGAGTACAGAGTAAATCAACAGGGCTGACCTGAGCCGTAGGCAATGCTTCTTCTCCCACCCAGCCCCCTTGGCAAACATCAGTCTGTCCCTGAACCTGGCTGCCTGCCAGTTTCTGCCAGGCTCCTGGGCACTCAGGACCAGACTTGAGGAGTTTGGCCTAAGCCCCAGGCCAAGCTGCCTTCACCCTCCCTTCATCCCTCTTCCCAAGAGGGGATTCCTGGGGAAAGAGGGCACGGGACCAGAGGAAGGGGAAGAGAGCAGGTACCCCTGGGGTCTGTGGACCAGTCTCCAGTGCTGCCAGCTGAGGGGGCGCAGAGGGGCTCCCCTGCCTCTTATGCCTGTGCCCTACCCTAGAGCTGGATCTGGCTCAGTTCCACATCCCTGAGCCTTTACCTGTCATGACTGCAGACCTTGGAGCATCATCATGCCCTTCCCCACCCAGCTCAGCAGATCCTCCCTGGTTCAGGAGGAAAGGGAACCCTGGCTGGGGGTGGTCAGAATCTCCCTACACCCATCCATGCAAAGCAATGGCTAGCTTTCAACTCGCAGCAGGATCACTAGCAAAACAACAGAACAATATTAATATGGTCCAGCCCCTGCAGACAAGGTGAGGACTGCAGAATGGGCAGGACCCCTGCTGGGCACGCGGGGGTATTCATTGTCTGTGGATGTCTCCAGCTTTGCTGTTCATACCCCTGCCCACTATGGGACTTGGGGGGAAATCAAGGTAAAATGAGGGCAGGTTTTGCTTTAATGACATCCTAGTATTTCCTAAGAACAAGAGACAGAAGATGACATCAGGAGCAGCTGGCTGGGAGGGATAGAAGGAGTAAGAAGCCAGAGGGAGAGATAGGTCTGGACTATGCCTTCCTTCTCCTGGTTTCCCCACAAGGCACCTCCACCCCCAGCGTGCAGCAGGTGACCAATCAACAGCTGCGGAATGGAAACTGCAAGCCCCAAAAAGAGAGAGGAGGGAGGGGGGAGCGGACAATTTTGCTCTTCTCTCCGTTGGGAATAGCTGATGCTCTTGTAATGAGAAAACAAACCCAGATTAAAGAACAGGAAGAAAGCAATATAGAGATGCACTCAGACAACTGAAGAGATAGACACAGGGAGTGCCGAGCAGTCTGAGCCCCTGGATGCATCCTGGGTGCAGAGATGTGTGGGATACGGGTGGGAAGTGGGGGCCACTGTTTGCTCTCCAGCTGGCTTTAGAGGCAAAGAGATGTGGATAAAGGCCAGTGACTCTGATCTAGTGGTGTCCAAAGTGGGGGCTGCCCAAGATAGCCACGGGATGTGGGGGGAAACTTGGAAAATGTCCACAGATAATGTATCTTTTATCTAAAAGAAAGATGGAGGGCAGCAGGAAGGAGAGTTTCTGAAGC